ATCCTAGGTTAGATATCAGCACTGGGCATCTCCCTTTAATTCGCAGTACCACATCTTGATATAAAATGCAGAAGTTCATTTCCTTCCAATGTCTATAATTTAGTTCAGAGTATGACTTCAGCGTCAGTGTATATGACTTTACCTTCAATATGAAATTCAAGAAAGTTACTGCTTGGTACACAAGAAAGGATTGACCTATGTTTGTATGTCTGGAAAATAAATACTTAAGATCAAGTGCTGCAAAATCCAAGTGGTTATTTAGTTAAATGTGACTAAATTATTTAAGGTCGAGGATGATTTATACTATTATACATCTAATGATCCACTTTATAAACACACAAGCATGTACATTTTTATACTTAGAAAATGCTTTCAGTAAAGTTTAATGTGAGGGGTGTTTAGACACCTTTAAAAGATGTTTGCCTTTATATCTTTAGGGACGTCTGCTAATTCCGATTCTCAGCATGAGTATGTTTTCCACTTAAGTATTTGAGAATTGTGGATATTCAGCAAGAATTCTAAAGATCGGTCGATATTAGGGAGATGAAGGCAGGTAACTCAGAGGAAACATCATAGAGTAATAAATGTTAATTATGAGATATTTTCAAGTGAATCTCTTAGAGTTACATAAATTAAAATGAACTGAATTGAAGTGTAGTATGGAAATATGGCTATAAAGGCACACAGGACATGTGGATATTCAGTCCTTAAATGATGATTATTGAAGTGTTTAGTCTTTTCTAAATTAATGTACAATATATACAGAATATATATATAATGAGCATATCTATGATTACTACTGCAATAATTAGTAATTTATTACTGACACATTTTAAAATAATTATTAATACTACTAATTGACTTATGGTATTTCCTAGAAGCACTCACAATAGACAAGCACCATATTGTATTATTCTGATCATGGAATTTTAAAATTCCCTCTTCTGGAGATATTTCTAATCTTTGTACAATTCTTTTCAAAATGCAGGACATGAAAGTTGGCAATATTAGGTATCAGATGCATTGAATCAAACTGCCCATTCAGTACGATTTCACAGAATTCCAGAATCATATAGGTTGGAAAAGACCTCTAAGATCATCAAGTCCAACTAAGTGCCACATCCAGTCATTTCTTGAACTCCTCCAGGGATGGTGACTCCAACACCCCACTGAACAGTCCGTTGCAATGTTTAACAACCCTTTCCATGAAAAAATAGTTCCTGATGTCCAACCTGAGTCTCCCCTGCTTGAGGTTATGTCCTCTCATCCTGTCAGTAGTTGCCTGGGAGAAGAGACTAATCCTCACCTCACTGCAACCTCCACTCAGATAGTTGTAGAGAGCAATAACGACTCCCCTGAGCCTCCTTTTTTCCAGGCTAAACCCCTGCTCCCTCACCTGCTTCTCACAAGACACATGCTCCAGACCCTTCACCAGCTCTGTTGCCTTCCTCTGGACATGCTTCAGCACTTCAATATTCTTGTAGTGAAGGGACCAGAGCTGGACACAGCACTCAAGGTGCAGCCTCACCAGTGCCAAATACAGAGGGACAGTCACCGTTGTGGTCCTGCGGACCAAACTATTGCTGATACAGCCCAAGATGCCATTGGCCTTCTTGGCCAGTTGGGCACACTGCTAGATCATGTTCAGCCAGCTGTCAACAAGCACCCCTAAGTCCTTTTCTGCTGGGCTGCTTTCCAGCCAGATTTGATATATCATATTTCACAAAACATCCAGGAGAAAATTGTGTAATTATATAAGACTGTATTTTAAAGACTGTACAGACATTATAATGAAATGAAAGCCATTTGGTGTTTTCTGGTAAAGTGCCTGACTTTTTTTCAATGTTAAACTTGTTTGTGCTTCTGAGATCTAAGTGGAGATTGACTCACAATGGTATAAATTGCAGATATAAGTTAAACAGTTATAAATTACATCTGAGATTAATATTATTTCACTTCTTGCCATTATTTCGCTCCCTCTGTTGTTTTTATTCCATTCTGTGTTCTCTTGTGCCCCTTCATGATACTATAAGCTGAATGCCTTTTTCTTTAACAGAATCACAGAATATGTCAAGTTGGAAGGGAACCACAAGGATCATCGAGTCCAACTCCTGGCCTTGCACAGGACCATCCCCAAGAGTCACACCATATGCCTGAGAGCATTGTCCAAATGTTTCTTGAACTCTGTCAGGCTTGGTGCTGTGACCACTGCCCTGGGGAGCCTGTACCAGCACCCAACCGCACTCTGGGTGAAGAATCTTTTTCTAAAATCCAGTCTAAACTTGCCCTGACACAACTTCAGCCCATTCCCTTGGGTCCTGTCACTGGTCACCACACAGAAGAGGGAGTCAATAGCTTCTCCAAGTTTTGTGTCATCTGCGAACTTGTTTAGTCCAGCATCCAAGTAATTTATGAAGATGTTGAAGAACACAGAGCCTAAGATGAAGTCCTGTGGAACCCCAGTAGTGACAGGTTACCAGTCTGACACTGTTTGCAAAAATCCTACTATATGTGGCTGGTAAATAGTCTTTCTTGTCCTTTGGTTCTGCTGTGAAATGCTTTACCATTAGAATTTAACTACCTTCTTCCTTGTTGCTTTGCTTATCTATCCAGCACTGCTGTACAATTTATTACAAATATTTTATTTTGCTTTTTGCTGCTACATACAAACAAATGCAACTTACATCACTCTGCCAGATGATGCTGTACATTTTCCCATTAGAATTAACTCAATTTTTGTTCTCTGTCCTTACCCAGATTAACCGAACATAGATTTTCATTTGCCTGTGCAGTGTTGGAATAAGAAATGGGTTTCCCTGGAAACTTAAATGTCTCAAGCAATCATTTACACATACAATATCTTCACCAGAAGCACACATTTTTTCAGTTCAAGTTGAGAACAAAATAAAAATATCTTCCTGTTTGTTTGAAAATATTTATATTTAAAGCACTGTAAGAGAACCCTTGCATTTGATTTCATAGACCAAAGATTTAATCATTCCCATAATAAATCTGGATTGTGAAATAATTTCACTTTTCAAGTAATTGTATTCACCAGAATAACTGTTTAGAACACTTCAGAAATCTGCTGAAATGTTTACCTCTAATTGCTATGCAAAACACTTCTGTCCTTTCCTCTGGGTAGGGCAAAACAACTCATTTTAGCATAGATTGTCTTCGCCAGCCAAGAATGTTTGTATTGTTTTAATCATTCTGCTCACAACTCAGACTTTCTCTTCAAAGCTATTCATAAAAATTTCCTCAAACTGTTATTTTTTACTGACAGATGCCCATTCAATATTCTCTCCTCTCTCCTCTCCTGCCTTTCCCCTCCCCTTTCTCTGCTCTCTACCTTTGTTTCTAAACCAAATGCCTTGCTCCCAATCCCAAGTCTTGGGAAATGGAAAAAATGCATAGAATCCATGTGTGCATAGATTCACATTTGAGATTGCATATCCACACAGTTTAACAATGTGTCATTAGGACCCCTCGGTTGTACTGCTAATGAAACTGCAGCTCCCAGGCTTTGCAGTTTTCAGCCTGCTCTCTTAATGATAATTTCTAAAATATTTGACCAAATGAGAGCAACACTCAGTATGCTGAGAGTTTTGACCAAGACCATAGTTACTGATCTGAGTGGATAGCTTAGCTTGAATTTGCCTGCATTTTAAACAGGCAACTGTATCTTTGATTGTGTTTTTACACTGTGTTTTCAGTATATTTTTTAACTGAAAACTATAATATTAATAATTAATAGTACTTGTGTACACAACAATATTCGTGATTTTTTGGGCACTTTGGCGTATTTACAGAGGCATTGTTCAGAAAGGAAAACAATGGGTGACAGAATATGACTTGCCAAAACGTCATACAGCAAATATTGACAAAATTGACTTCCAGAATGAAATCTTGGCTTCTGTGGAATCAAAGGCAAAACTCACAGAGAAAACAATGGGCTGTCATCCCAGACTCCTGTCCTGTCTAGATGCTGCTGAGGGAGACTGAAGATAAAATGTGTTACTAGAATGCAGTTGAGGTATTTTAGGACTTCACACTTTTATTCGCAGCTGAACACTTTCAGAGTATGATATGCTGCTGTGCCCTGCTATTGCATTGGCTCTCATGTGGTGGTGCTCATGTTTGAAAATGCAGCAGGGTTAGAAATATGTCCTTTTTCTCCTCCTTTGCAGAGCTGAGGGATGAATTGGATATGTAAACAAATGTTAATCATCATAGTCAGACTTGTGTAATACCAGAAAGATTATTCTTCTATAATTAAAGTGGCATAAAAAATTATTTAAGTAAAAGTTACTGGCACTAGATGTGTCTGTGGATACTGCTTTATTCTCATCATGTCAGGCAGAATGTTAGTGGTAATGATAGAATTATGTAAGGAAATGAATCATGAAAAGTGAGAAGATTCTGAAACATTTAGAGCTAAATTTAAGGATTCAGAAAGATACTCCACATAGAATTCCACACAGAATGCTGGGACCAAATGTTTTCAGTCTATTCAACCTAACTATTTTCTTTAACATTGACAAGTATTATTACACTTCTTGTGCTTCGTGCTTCAATTTATTTCTAGTCAAACTTACATGTCAGTGAATTTATTTCTGATGTCAGTCTGGCTCTTACCATCCTCTTTTTATTAGATGTTTATCTCACACTTCTATCAAACATCTTTGTCACTGAATTCAAATATACTTATTAAAGATAATGCCTGCACTTCCAAAACAGGTGCAATCACCACCTTTTCAATTTCATAAAATTTAAACATTTTTTAAACTTTAGATAACATATGTATCATTTTCCCCTTTGGAACTCTTTTTTTCAGAGTGCTAATCTTATGCAGAAAGGTTCAAATATGTGAGTAAAAATTCATAGAAACCTTCCAGAATACTGCAAAATGATGGTGTAGCTAAGTAAAACAGAACAGGCTAAGTGATGATCATGTTTTTCAAATGATGAGTTTAATAAGTGGGGAAGTAAAAGGTTACCTGAATGGCGTTTGTTACATTCCATCCTGCTTCCCAGCTGGTGATCAGTTTGACCTGGGCATGTGGCAAGGGAGCTGAGGACATGTATTCTGGATCCTGGTGACAAATATCAAGCTCAAAGTTCAGGGGTCCATCTGGTTCCTCACTGTGAGCTCTGTTCAGTTCATCTCTTCTAGCAAAATTCACACGCTCTTCGTCAGTGTCTAGGCAGCTGTCCAACCTCATAAGTCCCAAAAAGAGAGACGGCGTTTCCCTAAAGCAGTTGAAAAGAGACGAAAAAGTCTGCTTCAGGTGAGCCATCCTCAATACCAAACTTAAAAGTAAAATTTTTCATTACATTTTATTTTTTTTCAGCAGTTGTACCTTGTTACTCCTTTTGTTAGGTTAGTCTTAATAGTGTAGCTATGATAAATGGAGTTTGTTGTCCATAGTTCATTTATTTGTGCTCGTTTCAAATGCAGCTAAAGAAATATCTCCACAATGTTCAACATACTGCCCAGAGTAGTACGCAGCTAGATTTAGTAGTCTGCAACCTGCAATTTACAATTCAAATAATTTTTCCTTTTACCTATGGCATCTCTGTAGATCAGTCATTCATGAAGCATCTACAGGTGGTTGCAAGAATATTTTCCTGGAAATTATACATGTTTCTAATACAAATAAATAGCTCTGCCAAAAGCAAAAAATGCTTCATTAAAAACTAGAGTTGATAGACTGACTGCTAAGCAAATGCATGTAAACAAGTTCACTTTTCCAGATGTGATGATTTTCTGCTGTGTTTTAGTGTCTACAGAGGTCAGCAGAACTTAAAAAATGTTCTTAAATGAGCTTAAAGCAGCAAGATAAAGAAAAGTAGCTTGTTTGTAACTATATGTAATTCACAGTTACTAGCAACAGTTAGGAGAAAGACATAGAGTTTTGATTATATGTTTACTGTATGGATGTGAATGATATATTATTATTAGTCACACAGTAAAATCCTAAAAATAATGTTTACAAAAGTATCCTCTTACTTCCTGCCATGGCCCATGGAATTTGTGAAGGAAAGGTCAAGAGAGAGAGAGCGTTGGGTTGCACAGGTATAGGATTATTTATGCCCATTTTCTTTTGTTATTTCCAGTACCTGCCCTACATTCCTTTTCTCTCTTTGTTTCTGAAGAGTACTGGGGTTTAACAGCTATATTTCTACATTAAAAACTGAATAACTGGTACAACACTGCTGAAAAAAAGTGTTTGCTTACAAAAGGTCTGCATGTAGACCTTGTAGCACATGACAGCAGTTACAGTCCTTGCTTGCCCTAGCATGTCCTACCTGCTAGAAGAAATTTCAGGAATTCTTGAAACAAACTTCTCTACTGACTAGCAAATACAAAGGCAAATAGGTCTGTAAGTTTCCAGAAATATATGAATTTTAGTAAAATATTTATGTTAGATCTCTCAAACTTGGTATACTTTTTGGACTATTTGTTTCAATGAAATATTCAGCTCTGACATACAGCATAACACAGGACAACACAGGTTATCATTGTACGATATTCATTATTATTTATGTATAATGCTGCTTAGAGATTAAGTGTCTTAAAATCAGATAATAGGACACAGCTTTTTTTATGAAGGATACAACAAGTGAAGACAGAGAGAGACATGGCAGTCTGGGAGTATATACTTCTCTGTCTGCTGGGCATGGATTTTTCGATCTATGTATTCCCTGTAGCTTTGATTTTTGCAGTCAGTAGGGCAAATTACGCTCCTAGTTACATCACTGTGTATCTACTGGCTCTTTCACTGACATAAATAATGAACAAAGGAAGATATATCAAATCTGGTTTTATTATTGCATTAAAAACTGGTGTCGAGATGATAGCAGCAAATTTCTTATTTATCGTGCTACTTCCAGGCCATCAGAAATAATCAGTAAAGGCAACAAATGAGAACCGAACTCAGTCAAAGGCTAGTCCAGTTCTTCACTTTTCCCATGCACTTCTTCTGCCAGACATTATTTCTCCAGATGTTCTTTATCCACACAAGTCAATATTGTAAGTTTAATTAAATGTTATGTCTTGACTTAGGAAAAACTTCCTGATTTATGGTAGACTCGTAAGTATGGTTATCATTGTCCTTGGCACCTATTCACCTATTTCTACTTCAGTACCTAAACTGAGATTGAAATTTCTTGGAAAGCAGCAGACTATCACTGTGATTCATAAGCTTGAGAGAGCTGAATTTCAGGAACAGGAAGAGTGCGTGGATAGGCTTGGAAAAGACATCTTTCTTGGTCAGTAGAATTTTGTAGTGAAGCTGCTTATGCCCAAGGAAATAAGGTCTTCGGAGCTGCCACTTGCATTGGTCATCTTTTTTTTCAAAATTTGTTTGACTGAAGGACCCTTCAGTTATACACATCGAGAAGACTGTTTCAGAACAGCAGTAAAAAGTAGGTCAACAAAATAGTTTATCAGCTCTGCATACTTTTATCTGACATAGTAATGCATTGATATAATGGTGAATCTTATCTCTTCTTTATAATCTCACTTTTGCTGTGGGACATGGGTTTGGCTCAAGTCTTGAGGTAGTAGTATGGCATACCCTTTCACAAGGGAGAAGATCTCTCTCCTCAAAAAAAGGTATCTTAAATAGTCACCACTCTTAGTCATGAGGCTAGCTGGGTTGAACACACACACTTCTAGATATGTAAGACATTTTCTCTAGAATAAATGTCTGCTTATAGGATGTCCACTGTTATTACTTCCCATAATGGAATTTACGACTAAAGGGCTTTTTCGGTCTTTCCATGTTAAGGCACTAGGACCATGTATAAAATTGGATCCAAGGGCATGAAAATCTCAGTTAGGCAAAGCTAGATCTGTGGTGTATTTCCACAGAACTCTGAAGCTGTATGATGGAGCAACCAGTAATGCAGATGGACTCCTGAGTACCCACGTTATACAGTTTAGGCACATCCCAGCTACCCCAGCACAAGCTCAATAGGGCCCTTTTTGGTAGATAAACTCTTTATTGGTATTAGTCTAGCTTTTAGTGCTGCCTGAATGACTTTAAACTAAAATAGAAATGACAGGGCAAAATGGAAAAAATACCTGAAACCAAACAATGTTCAGTTTGGTAAGCATATCCAGAAAAAATATCACAGACTATCCATCCACCCTTTGCCTTTTGTAGGTTGAGGAATTTTTTTTCGTAGTGAAATGAGGACTTAACTTTTGGTACTATGAATCCCTAACATAAATATTTGCAGTATTTTTTCACACTTTCAACTGATGTTTCTTATGAATGCTCAGGTTTCTTAACAAAATTCATCTTCTTCAGAAGTTTCTGTCAATTAAAAATTTGGAAAGCAGACACAGACAAGGCTTAGTGCATGAGGAAAGATAACATTAGTAGTTAATTGTATGTGTTTAGACAGGTTTCTTCATGTTCACTTACAATTATTTGTATGCTTTTGTACGTTTTTTTTGTATTGTTGCCTGCTCTACATGTATTACTCTGACAACTCTTTAAATAGTTATTCAAAATTATGTTCAGGCATGCAAATGTATATAACTGTAAATGCCTGTGGCACTTTAGAAGTACATGAAAGATAATGTCCCTCCCCTAAGAAAATAAACTCTAATCCAAACAGAAAAGTATTATTGTGATGCTGATTTAAAACAAAAAGGAAAGAATGGAACAGTTAACACTGATAGATAAGTACTGGAAAGTTTCTTGAAAAATCGTGATCATGAGTCAGCATTTGTAAAGGATACTTCTCGTTTGAGAAAGAGAAGGCACTATTCAAAGCCTCAGGGACACAGAACGAATTAAGCCAATAGTGAAGAAAGAATGTAAACAATAGGAATGAAGATTTTAAGAAACATACATCTGAATGGTGTAAGAGAAGATAAAAACAGGCATAGAGACAGAAGAGAAGTGCGAAAGATTGAGCATTCAAGGACAGGATGTAACACTATGAAGAACTGTGTTGCTTATTTACATAGAATATTTCCTAAGACATGCCACAAAATCTCCATATATAACCAGAATCGTGAATTCTTTTCTGAGTTTCTCAAAGTTCCTATGTGCTAATATTCTTCCTATTTCTTGCAATAGAGGGAAAGAGAATCAGTTCTAGCAATTTTCACAGTTAAGGATATTCTGCTGGAAAAAGAAATGCAATTTGTGAGGAACAGAGAGAACGCCAAGGAAAAAGACAGAAAGATACTTTATCGGGAGTGGCTATTTAAACATATCGCAGAGGTGACCCTCAAGGAATATTTGTGCTCCAAATCAGGCTTACCAGAGATGCAAGTGCCAGAAGTAGGCATTGACTTAATTCAGGCCATTCGTATATATGTATCATGATGTAGTCCTTAAATGTATAGAGGTTTGTATCTTTCCATTGGCTAGTTCACTGAAGAGAAATCACCATTATGTAGGAATGGATTAGCATCATGGAGCTATGGTGCCTGAAAGAAAATTCAGGGAGAAAAAAACTCTGAGACAATTTAGTTTTGAAGGTGAGATAAGGAAAGGGTTTAATTTGTGCCTAGGCATAAAGTTACAAGACGCGTGCCTCCTCTGTCTCAGCTGTTACAATTTTATAAGATTATCCACCCAATCAATGATTTTATCCACCCCCTGGCCTTTACCCTGATCCACCCTCAGTAACGCCCCTTGGGAATTGGGGCTGGGGTCTCTGAGACCCTCTCTTCACCAATCTTCATCTTCTTCCGGGTATGGGAGGCACACGTTCACCCAGTTTTTGACTGTGCTCTTGCGGTTCAGGCCAGGATTAGATGCCCTCAAACAGAAGAGGCCTATCTTGAAGAGAGACTAAACATTTCTACTGGAATTCAGGGGATATTGATACAGGGAATTGGGGTAAAAGGGTTGGAGAAAGTGTGTAGTTTCTGTGCTAAGGGTAAGGGAATAAGTGCTGCTGCTTCTAAATCTTCTTCTACTATACAACTACTTATAAAACTTATAAAAATTAGAAAAATCAGAAAACCAGATGGACCTTAAGGCATCAGCTAAGACGGTTGATGATCTCAAAAGGAGACAATGTAGTCTTGTAGCTAATTGAGAAGTGTATTTTCTCTCTGTCTGCAGCATTTAAGTTACAGATTGGTGAGTTGCACCATGGGTTTTACATAAGTTAATATGGATAAGAGTCTTCTAAGCAGGAGACAAATTTTCTGAGCTACCCTTTTGGGCCCCTTTCATATACACAGTAGAATAAAACAGATACTTCTAAAGAATTGTTTGTCTCAGCCTAAAATCTGACACCTGAAGTAGGTCAGATGCCATAG